TATTTATTGATTTGCATTTATTGAACCATCCTGCATTCCTGGAATGAATCTCACTTTGTCATGATTTTTAATGATTTGCTACATTCTGTTTGCCAGTATCTTATTGATGCTTTTTGCCTCTATGTTCCTTATAGAGATTGTTATGCAGCTCTCTTTTATGAGCTGGCTTGGATTCTTTTCTCATTTTGAAATCAGGCTGATGCTAGCTTCTAGGAATGACTTTGGGAGGACTGCTTCCCCTTCAGTGTCATTAAAGAATCTGAGGAATATTGGCTTAGTTCCTCTTTAAAGTTTTTGTAGAGTTCAATAAAGAATCCACTGGGACCAGAATTTTTCTTCGTTGGTAGTTTTTGCATTATGTTTTTAAAAATATTTTCTTGGTTTTGCTTTCATAGTTCATATGAATCTAGGAATTTACCCATTTCTTCTAGATAATCCATTCTATTAGAATACAGGTCCTCAAAGTAGCTACCAATAATCTGGAATATGGTAGAATCTGTTGTGGTTTTGACTTTTTCATTTCCAGTTGCATAGATTTGTGTCTTTTCTTTCCTTATTTTCATGAGTTTGGCTATAGGATTGTCTATTTTGTTTAATCTTTCAAAGAACCAACTCTTTGATTCATAGATCCTTTGTGTTCTTTTTTGTATCAACTGCATTCATTTTTGCTGCTTCTTTTTAACTTTTTTTCCTCATACTAGCTTTGAGTTTGGATTATTCTTGTTTTTCTACAACCCTAACATGCACAACAATTAGGTTATCTTTTGAGCTTGCTGTTTTTCTAATGTATAAATTAACTACTATAAGCTTCCCTTTTAGGACTACTTTCATCCTATCCTATAGGTTTCAGTATGTTCAGTATGATATTGTTTGATTACAGACACTGTCTACCTTCTTTAATTCTGTCTGTGACCCACTGATTCTTTAAGAAGTTATTATTTAATTTCCATGTGTTTGCAGAGTTATTGTTTTCTAGTTTTATTGCACTGTGACCCAGTAACATGAATGGGATAATTTTGATTCTTTTGCATTTACTTAAGCATGTTTTTGGGATAGTGTGTGGTCTATTTGGGAAAGTCCCATCTGCTTCCAAGAAGAATGTGCATTAGATGGAACACTCAGTAGATCTCTATTAACTCCATTTGTTCCAAAGTCCGGTTCAACTCTGATATATCTTCGCTGATGTTTTTGTCTGTTTGTTCTATCTGTCATGACAGTAGGGCATTAAGGTTCCCCATTATCATCATATTAGTGTTTATCTGATTTTTCATGTCCATTAATGTTTGTTTTATAAAGTGGGGTAGACCACTATTTGGCACATATATGCTTATAATTGTTAAGTCCTTCTGTTGAATTTTTTCCTTAACCTAGTGATGGTAATCCTCTTAGAGACTTCAATGATGCAAATACCCTGCTATGGCACGTATACCATAGTATCATCATCACTGCCTTAACGAATATGTGGTGACCTTATTTGTGTCTTCTGATCAGTCTTGGTTTGAAATTCACTTTTTCTGAAATCATGACAATTCCTGCTTTTCTCTGGGTACCTATTACAGAGAATGAATATCATTTTCCATTCTTTCATTTTAATTCTGTGAGCTTCTTTTAGAATTAAATGTGTTTCATGTGTACTTCTTATTGTTAGGTTTTGAAAACTAAACTCAGTAGCATAGCAAGATACAAAGTCAACATCCAAAAATCAGGAGTGCTCCTGTACAGCAATAACAAACCCACTGGGAGAGAAATCAGGGAAATAACACCTTTCACAAAAGCATCAAGAAAAAATGAAATACTTAGGAATTATCCTAATCAAGAAATGGAAAGACCTCTATAGTGAAAATTAGAGTATTCTGAAATGGAGATCAGACAGGATATCAGAAAATGGAAAGATATCGCCTGTTCCTGGATAGGCAGAACCACTATAGTGAAAATGGCCATATTTTCTAAAGCGTTACACAGATTCACAGCAATTCTAATCCACATACCAATAGTATTCCTTACAGAACTAGAGAAAGCAATCATAAAATTTTTATGAAACTGGAAGAGACTAGAATCGCAGAGCCAATTCTGGGCAACAAGGACAAGGCAGAGGACACCATGATCCCAGACCCCAAGTTACACTATAAAGCTACAGTGAAAAAAACAGCATGATATTGGCAAAACAAACAAACACAAAGCACAACAGATGTGGGGATCAATGGAACAGAATAGAGAATGCAGAAACAACTCTGAGAACACCACTACCTGTTCCATGACAAGCAATCATATCCTTTTGCTGGAGGAAAGACAGCTTCTTCATCAAATGGTGCTGGGAAAACTAGCTACCCACATGCTGAAGAATGAACTTAAACCCATGTGTCTCAACATGTACTAAACCAAAATAAAAATTGATCAAAGATCTAAATAACAGAAATACTTTATCATTTTTAAAAAATAGGTAAAGCTCTGGAAAACATAGGTGTAGGCAGAGACTTTCTGCATGGATCCCTGGTTGCATAAGAAATAATACTAAAAATCAACGAATGGGGTCACATTAAACTAAATCTTTTGCACAGCAAACTACCAACAGAGTAAAACACCTACAGAATAGGAAAAACATTTACCGCCTAGTGCTTTGACAAAGAATTGATAACTAGAATATATAAAGAACTCAAAATACTTAGATTTCCCCAATGTAAAGACCCAATAAAAAAAATGAGCATCTGAAACGAATAGAAAAAAAAATAGGAATGGAGGATAAATACTGCAAAAATGTTCAACATTGCTGACTATCCAAGAAATGCAAATTAAAATGTCACTAAGATTCCATTGCACTGGGCCATCGTGAAGACATTGAATAATAACAAATGCTGGAAAGGCTGTGGGGAAAAGGAAGCCTTCTCATAGTTGATGGGACTGTAACCTAATACACGCACTATGGAAATCAGGATGGAGGTTTCTAAAAACACCAACAAAGAAATTCCATTTGACCCAGCTGTTCCCCTTCTAGGTATCTTCTCAAAAGAATTAAAGACATATATAGCAGTTATGACACACATACCTATGTTACAGCAGCACAGTTCATAGCAGCTAAATCTTGGAAACAGACTGTGTGTCCATCTACAGAAGAATGAAAAAGAAAACTTGATATATATACACAGTGGAGTACTCCTCTGATATAAAGAAAATAAGTTTGACTCATTTGTAGGAAAATAGAAGCTCTTTGGGACCATCATGTTAAGTGAAATAAATTGGATGCACAAACTTAAGTATTTCATGGTTTGTCTTATCCCAGAAACTCAATATGTAAATAAAGTACAATATAAAAGACAAATAATAGGAAAACAAGAGTTAAAAAGTTACCATAATCCAGCATGGACAATATACCTAAAAATGTATGGGACCTACTGGGGCCAGAGATAAAGCTTAGTGGCACAGTGCCTGCCTGGCAAGTACGAGATTGTGAGTTCGATTTCCAGTACCAACAAATAAATACATAGATAAAAATGTGCTTGATTTACTACAGTTGTCTTATATGCTTTTTATATGTTTTGGCCTATTAGTCTTGTTGTTATCTGTATGCATGATAATTACCTTCATAAAGATATAAGATAAATGAATCTGATGCTGGCAAAAAAAGAAGGGTGGAAGACAAGGAGAAAAAGAACTGAGATATGTTATGTACATGTACCAGTTCCTCCCAATGACTGTAATCATTAAGTGCTGCAAACATAAATACAAAAATTTTAGAAAAAAATATTTAAAAAATAACTAGATTGTTAAGCATTCAGAATTAGAGGAAGTTTGAATAGGAAGGTTTGCCTACTGAAATGCTATTTTATTTTTTTGTTTTGTCTTCTATGAGAGCATCTATCTTTTAAGATTCAGCCTCTGCTGTGTAGCTACTGTTGAAAGCTATTGACCATTTTACCTGACAACACATGACCATAATTTTATTCCTTTGAAATTTTCTATTATTTAAAAAGATCTAAGAAATGAAGGCAGGTGAGTTCCCTTGGCAGATTCCAGTTTGTGACATCCTCTGGCCACCGTCTCCCATGAATATTTTTCCTGTCAAGCATGAAGCTAATGATCAGGAATGATTCTGGCCCTGGCTCTACTGGTGGCCAACAGTCTACTAGTTTTTGAAAGTGTGGTAGTTTTTCCTTACCTGAAAAAGTCCTTTATGCCTGATTTACAAGAAGAAAATAAAGTATGTAGATCCAGATTCTAGTCACTGTTCATGAGCTAAGAAAGGCTAATCGTTAAGCACACTCCCAGTTCAGGGTGAAGCCCTGAACTTCACGACGATGCTCATTTGATTGTGACTGCTTCTCAGTCCTTTCAAAATCATGAACCGCGCTGGGTGGCACCTCTGCAGCAGAAATCCAAGCAGGTAATAAGCAGCATCCGGTCTACACATAAGTCAGCTGCTTCAAATAAAAGATTAAAAGAACTGGTAGGTTAATTTAAATGGAGGCCAAGCCCACATTGCAAGCTTAGATTTCTAACCCATTTTTCCTTTCCTGGAAACAGTACAGAAGTCTGAATTTGGTATGCGTCTGTGCCTGAAGATTGAATTAAAAATCACATTTAGACATTTGGACTGTATATTTCATAGTAACAAAAATAATTGCCTGAAGGCAGCTAATTTCACCATTGTATTTAGTAAGCATCTTGGTTATAAGAGAGGAACTGGGGAAGTGGGTGGAGTAAAGTGCCTTCCCTAACCTCGGTCCCTTTCCATCCCTTTGCACACCGCGCATTACCACATTCACAGGCACACAGGTGTCCAACGTTGTGTAGCAAGGTGCTGCCAGCAAGACCAGTTCATAGAACATTTCTGTAGTGATGGTGACAAGCTTTGAAAAACAACCTACTTGACAACTGCATTTGTCTACTAAATTATCTTGGAGCAGAAAACAGTATCAAATTACTTCTGCATTCAGGAAACTTGTGGAAGGAAAGGAAAGTGTTACTTATGTATGGTAACCCTTCTGTCGTGTTCTTCTCTACAGAGACTGAAGGAATTAAAACAACGAGAGTTTGCTCGAAATGTAGCTTCCAAGTCATGGAAAGATGAGAAGAAACAAGAAAAAGCACTTAAACGACTCCATCAGCTGGCTGAGTTAAGACAGCAGTCTGAATGGTAAGAATTAGAGGATCAGTTAGATGGTTCAGAAGTCGATTCAGCTTCCAGGGAAACTCCCATGATAAAATAATAAATTCCAATTTAATGTAGCAGTGTAAACTTGTAATTAATCAGCATATATGTTTTGGGGCAACTGTTTCTAACAGATAAAGGTTTATAAATTAATTGCTTTTGCCACTGATTTTTCCTTCCCAATATTGTTATTTCAGTGCACTCTTTAATGAAATGATCCAAGAATGATTGTAATATACTAGTATTTATTCTATCCAGTTGACTTAAACGAATTGACATAGTTCCTCAGTCATTTAAATTTTGCAATAATAATTTAAAAGCCATAACTATCAAAGCATTTCAGGGGCAAATATGTCTTCTGTGCATTCTCCTGTGTGTACATTTGAATTGAGAATAAATGACACTATCATTGTGTGGCAAACAAGATGTAATTAATGCAGTTAAATTTCCCACACACTGCTATTTAAATTGATAATTATAATATAACAAGCATTACACTAATACATTCTTGTAGCTGAAAACTAGCAGTTTTACAAAAGCTTGGAGCAACTCAGTGTTTGAAAGTTGTTACCTGAAAAGCAATTAAAGCTGCAGATTGTGATTTGTGTTCATATGAATCATAATGTATAACACCAACATAGCTAATTAATGTGGTTGACAGCAACACAGTGAACTGTAAAATTTATAGCTCTGTGCCAGAATTTAAACCCCTGTTGTTTAAATGCAAAACAATGTACAATAACAGAAATGAATGGCTTAATTATATTACTGTAGAATATTAGACTTCAAGTGGGATTCTAAGGAAATATTTGGTTTTTAGGATCAATTATGAGTGAAAATAGTACAAGTTTGCACATATTCATATAAATATAACTCAAATAATTTAATTAACTATTGAAAATATGTAATAGCCTTATTAAAAATGAAAGAGAAATTTAGTTTAAAGAAAAACTAGAAGTATAATATGTACCCAGGGATGAGCTCAACACAAGAATCCAATTTGTGATCTCTGATAAAAATAAAGAAGAGGGAAACACATTAGCTACTGAGTTTTATATCAGCCAAAACAGTGTCAAATATTTTGTTGATAAGGGATAGGTCAGTACTCATAAAAGCATGACTTAGAAGAGTGAGTCATATGTTTGTTAGGGTAAGATAGAGGGAAAATTGTAGGAAAGATATCAATTCCTACATGATTACGTATGAGATATAATAAATCACACCATAATAAATGTGGCAATCCCCACCACAGAAAACATCCTTAAAATAGATTCTCTTAGGCCAGGCCAGAGTTGTCTGGTTCCATAGCAAGTCCGGATAGCCTTAACAAATTTAGTTTTGGCTGTTTTGTTGTGACGAAAGTCATCCACTTCTGTATTTCCATTCACCTATTCTATATTTCAACTCACCTATTCTATATTTCATTATGGGAAAAGTGACAGAGGCCCATAGGAACCTTGATGACAGGGTGGTGGTGAGGACAGATGGTGGTGTTCATAGATGATGTTGATGACAATGATGATGATGTTTTTACTTCAGTTTCTAAGTTTGCCAGAGCTACCCATTGAGGGTCCTCCATATTATAAGATTCATTCTCTTAAGTGCCAGGTATCCCTCAGGAAACTTCATTGGTAAAGCAAGCAAACCTACTACATCTGGGTTAGTGTTGTTTACAAAGAAGGCAGGCTCTGTAGGTTGTGATGTATCCATACTGTCAGGAAAAATGTTGAAGCTTCTACATACAGAACACAAAGCTAGGATGATTATTTCTTTCTTTCATAATATTTATCACCCATCCTTTAGCCAACTGGTCTACCTGCTGAAACACTCCCATGACTTAAGTAAGTTACATAATAAAATTATTAAATATTTTTATGTTGGCAGGTGAATTGAGAAAGTAAAGTTAAAAATGAAATAGAAGGGGCTGGGGATTTAGCTCAGTGGCACAGCACCTGCCTGGCAAGCATGAGTTCGTGAGTTCGATTCCCGGGACCAGAAAAAATAACCAAAAAAAATAAAATAAAAGAAATAGAAAAGGAAAATATCATCAACATTCCTTACTCCTTACCTGGACATACTTTCTTTGTTCTCTGTCCTCACATCAGGGCTTCTGAGTAGAATAGTCTAGATAACAAGATTCTGCTATAACCCTGTGGAAAAGACAAGTGAATTTCCTAATAATTAGAATATCTGAATCAGGCAGATGAACAAATGATAGCAGCAAGCTGGTAACAAAACTTCTATTTAGGCGTGGAGTAGGATGGAGCTAGAAAGTAGGGGAGATGTGCAGATGTTGGCCAATGCATACAAACTTTCAAATGCAGTTGGGGGATCTAATGTGAAAGTTGTCAACTACAGTTGATAACGCTCTATTGTATGCTTGAAATTTACTAAGATAATGGTGATATTAGTGTCCATACTCATTTTCCGCACCCACGTACTTACTGATAAATATGTCTGGTAATGAATACGTCAGTTAACTTTATCATGGTGATAATTGCACAATGTACACATATATCAAAATATCAGGCCACACACCCAGAATAAATGCAACTTTTATTTGTCACTTATACCTAAATAAAGCCCAAAAAATTGTCTTTAGTAATGGTATAATGCATAAATTTATATTGAAATAATAGAACTTAAACAGCGCAAGGATAGAAAATTTGGATTTTCTGAAACAAGAAAGAAAATTAGATTTTGAGGTAAGAGAAATTGAAGTTTAAGTCAAAAGTTTAAAGAATAAAAATAAGAGTATTAAAAAATAACAGTGAGAATAAAATGTTAAAACATCTGAAAATCTATAATCATAAATGCAGAGTAGATTAAAAAATGAGAACAAGAACTAGAAGCTAAGAGCAAAATATAATGCAAAAGCAGTAAGTGCAGAGAAGTTTAAAATATTTAAAATAGTATGAGAAAAGAAGCTTGCACATTAGAAAGATGAATAGTAAAATAAAACAGCAATACAGGGGAGAACATAAATCACACAAGAGTATGCAGAAAACAGTGCCAGAAAAATAAGCAAAAATATTACTAAGGAACAATGTATTGTATCATAAAGAAACCTGGAAGAGAAAAGCAATATTGTCTTTCCATTAGATGTTTGGAATAATTTCTGCAAAGTACAAGTCCTCATGGTAACAAATTGATTGAGGTTCATGAAACAGGTATTTTAATTTAGAGATATAGGTCTTAAACCAAGGTTTGGCTACAAATGTGGAATAATCTCTTTAACAACATGACAAAGTGGAGTGTTATAGGTATTTCTGAATTTCACTCCTCTGGCTTCAGGTTGCAGACACTTTAGACACCAGTTACACTGCATTACATCTCTATGTCTTTCATTTTTCTTTATGCTTGAAAAAAATTTAACAAACCACACAGTGCCTTAAAATATATCTACCCATCCCTCATATAAAGAAAGGGACATTACTGTGAGAAACAAGATAATTTTTATTATGAAACCACTAGTCTAAGGAATACAATGTTAGACAATTTCTAAACTTGGTTTTCCTCAAGATTCAGGGAAACACTATAACCTTATAGTTATAGCCATTAATTTATAAGAAGAGATATGTGAAATCATTGAAAACTGAAGGATGATTAAAATTATTGTTTGTAAATTACACTCCATATGGACATAAGAAACAACAGATTGCAATATTATAAAATATGAAGCCAATGTAATAAAAATTAAATACAAGAAATTCTCCCTAAAGTATAGCAAAAGGCTAAAGACAGTGAAGTTGATAGTAAGATCGAAACGACATAGAAAGGAAAGGCAGTAATTATAGCATACATGCCCTAGTGTGAGAAACAAGGACAAGGATGAAGCAATAATCAGATAGATCAGAAAAGAAAATGTACCTGAACTAAAGAAAGTTAAATCGACAGTGTCCCAGAAGTAATACTAAATATCCACCAAAGAAATCAACCTGTAGCTATGTTCTGTGTTCTGGTAAATACAAAATAAATAGCATAGGAAAGGCATAATATTTATATATGAAACAGTATACCTTGATTTTATATAAATAAAAAAATTATATTAATTTATAATTATAATTTAAATTATATTAATTTATAATTATAATTTATAATTATAATTTAAATTATATTAACAAATAGATTCAGTTCAAAAAATGAGAAAGTATTTGAAATGTCTGAAATATTTCAAAAATAAGAATAATGAATCCAAGTGCATGAAATTGGGTGGAAAGACTAAATCGAAGTGCATGAAATTGGGTGGAAAGACTAAATATTACTACAGGGTTCTACAATAATTGATCAAAGAGTCGTAAGTGACGCCAATAAGGAATTTCTCAGGAAGGTCTCACAGAGTTCTTCTCTTCTTTGGAATTTAAGCTACATGTTGTGAAGATATACAGTATATTGTTTTAATACATTGTATTCGAGAAACAAGTGGCCAAATAAAAATTAAATAGAAATCTAAACTAGAAATAAAGGCAATATATTTCCCAGCAAATGGTATAAGACAAAATGAAAGAAAGCAAATAATTGTATAAATATGATTTATTGCCTTATCCCAGTGAATACTTGTTTGGTAGCAGCTGTATAGGTAGAATTCTATAGGGACAAATAATTTTTAGCTAACGTGTATCATCCCTGTATGTATAGGACTTCTTTCAGTTTTTCAATTGCCAATGAAGCACAGTTGAAATGATACTCTTTCAAGACCTTTCAAAACATAACAGACATGTACAAAAGGTAGAAGCAGGATTTTAGGGAGATTCAAAAGGGAAGCTTTCAAAACCACTGTAAATGAGAAGCCTAGTTAGTGCGTGATACTTTCCTATGTATTTACTACAATTTGTCAAACTAGTGACTAATCAGAGTAAAGAAATATCACTTTGTTTCAAATGGAAGTAAACACGAGAAAATTCAAAACTGAAAAACCAAGAATTAGAAAATGCTAGCATTCAACGTAAAAGCAAACTGAAGAATACTTTTGTTCTTTGGAATTAAATTTTATTAATTTCCTATTTAATGTGAATGTACTGATTGGAAAACTATGAAACAGTTTAAATCTGTACTCAAGAATGGTTTCAGACAATATATATTATATGTACCTAATTTTTGCAGTACTAGTATCAGATATTCCCTTGCTACTTTTTTTATTAATTTCTAAATAATACAGTTGGGGCTGGGGATTTAGCTTAGCTGGCCCAGCGCCTGCCTAGCAGGTGCAAGGTCATGAGTTTGATTCTCAGTAGCAGAAAAAAAAAAAACCAAAAATAAAAAACAACAACAGTTAACAATGCCTTTTAGAAATAGCCACACCAAAAGTTATACTGACTCGTATGTGCATGATAAAATAATTGTATTACAAAAGATGTAATTAGTTCATAAATGATAGAATAACTCATCATAGAAGCAATATGAAATGAACACATGTAGATAGGTTTCAAAATCAAATGTTAATCATTTAAATATTTATTGTGTTTACAGTGTTTCTGGAAATGGACCAGCTTACAAAGCCCCCAGGAGAGCCATAGAAAAGCAAATCCAGCAGGGAATTTTCCCAGTTAAGAGTGGCAGAAAGATATCCTGCATAAAGAGTACCCTTCTCCTTAAGGGAAAGAGTATTCCCAGAAGCACTTCTGACAAACAACGTTTTACCCTGCCAACCCGACACCAGTTACCATCAGACAGACGCTGTTGGTTTGGCAATCGGACGCCACACACACCTTCAGATCTCAGCAATGCGAATCACAGGACTGGCATATCATTTTCGTTTTCAAAAAAAGTACACCTAAAGCTAGAATCTTCAGCACCGGTTTTCAGGGAAAACACAGAAGAAACCCACGATTGTAAAAAGTCACCTACTTATAAAACACAACAAACTGTGGAGAAATGTGAGTACTGCAGGTTTGCAAAGGAGGACGTGCACTTCACTAAGGACAAAGACAGAAGCATCTCACCAACCCCTCTGGAGAGTGTTTTCCATGATACCTTTGCCAGGAGCTCTAATACTCTGAAAGACAAAAATGACTGTATTGATGAGACACTAGCAGATTCCATTGGCATTCAAGCTTCTTTCTCTAAATCTAACATTCATCTCTCAGATGAAGATTTTAATCCTTCCAGCAGAGAGAAAGAAACTAGAAATACACTGAAGAACACTTCAGAAAGCCGCCTCCATCACCCATGCCAAGAAAGTGTTTCCTTCAGCCCAGCAAACATTTACAAGCACAGTGATGCCAGGATATTTGAATGTCTGGATGACTTTTTGTTACCAGAACTGAGTGAACAAAAGGATACAGTACATCAGAATGGCAATTCAAGTGTGGAGAACAGAGGACAGTCTTTAAATGAAGGTGAAAAAATTAGCACAAACAGTGAAAGAGTTCTAAGAGAAGCATGTCCCCATGGTGTGACATCCAAGCCACTGCCTTTTCTCCATGTACAAAGCAAGGATGGCCACACTACTCTTCAGTGGCCTACCGAACTCTTGCTCTTCACAAAAACAGAGCCCTGTATTTCTTATGGGTGCAACCCGTTGTATTTTGATTTTAAGCTTTCTCGGAACACAAAGGATACCCATAATCCTGACGACTTAGAAACAGAATTGGGCAAAGAAACCTTGGAAATGAAGACAAAAATAGAGAGCCAAGTCTCAGGTTTAGTTACAGACCAACAAAAATTTATCCAAGAAGATAATCAGTTCCTGAAGCCAAAGATGATTGTAGCTAATGCAGATTGGGAAAATTTACAGAGAAAATATAATTTGCGCTACAATGATACGGAGTCTAACAAGGGTGAACATAATTTTAGTGCAAGTAATTTGGAATTGAAAAATCCTGAAGTGCCTGCTTACCTTGATATGTCCCTGAAAGACTGTGTAGGAAAGAATGATAACAATGCCACTGATAATGAATTTAAGGAATCTTCAAGATCCCATTGGCAAAGCTGTGGAGGAGTCATTCTAAATGATGGAAACGAGGACCTAGCCTTTCCTCCCCACATCTCTAGGACTAAGAAGCATAAGCTCATTTCTTGCAACCCTCATTCAGTGTTTGAAGAGGAAAACCAATTGACCTGGAATTCTAGTCCTTGTGTATTGGGCAGTCACAATGACCAGGGGAAGGACTTTAGTGTAATTTGGAATAGCAACATCAACATGGCCCATAGTGTTTCCGGATGTGGAGACCAAAGCTACAAGAGATGTTGTCCCAAGTTATCTCTGAGGGGACATTCTAGAACTTTGGATAAATCCTTGAGCAGGATGTCCAGCCTGAGAAATACTTGTTCGAGTCATAAGACTAATAGTAGCAGCAATGGCGATCTGCTCTATTTTTGCAAAAGAGAACACAGCTCAGTGGAGAGCCTCAAGTGGAACCATGGAAAGCACACCTGTCTCTGTTTGTCCCATGAGATGACAAAGAGCAATGGCCTGCAGTCTGAAATGCAGAGAGATAAGAATTGCAAATTGTGGGAATCACTGAAGAAGAGAAAATCCTTAAAACACAGATATTGCCACTGCCAAGAACGATATAAACTGGGTAAAAATCAACCATTTCCAGGGCTAAATTCTATGCGAATCATCCACTGTGATTCCTGCTCACAGGTTTCCTGTGTTGGAAGCAGTGAAAGATCGCCTGATTTCCACAGACCTAAGCACAGTAGATTGGGCTCTTACTCAAGACAGAGGATTTATTGCTTAAATAAAAGCAAGCAAAGTTCAGAATCCTTGGACAGCTGTTGTGTTTGTGAGCAGAGGAAAGCTGCACACAGGCAGTGTGACTCAGGGACTGTCAGCTGTCTTCTGAGGACCTCTTCCACAGAACCTCCCGGACCCACAGAGCCCACCGTTTCAGGAGAGAGAAGCCCTCTGACAGCCAAAGGCCTTTTAGAAAGAGTACAAGCAAAGAAGTGTCAGGAACAATCAACAAATTTTGAGGTATCTTCACCCACTTGTAAAAATGAATCTGGGGATCATGCACAAATCCAGTGCCCAAGTCAACTTGTACCACAAAGTTGTAACAGATCAACATTGCTGTTGTCTGACAAAAGCCAACATACGAGTGAAAGAAAAAACGACAAAGGCAACGCAGTTCCAAGGCCTGCGAAGAAAGACAAACTCAAAAGCTCACAGACCAATACTTGTACTGTTTTAGCAGATACCGAATCGGATAACCATCTTTCTAAAGGCGTAGTTCATGTAACTGCAGAATCTCAGTCACTAAACAGAAAAAAATACCCAAAAACAAAAAAGCAATCAAAATCTTTAACTAGTGAGGTCCAGGCTTTTATTCAAAGCCATGACCCAGTACCAAATGATTTCCCGGGTGCTTTTCCATCTAATAGATATACTGGTGTAACTGATTCAACAGAGACCAAAGAGGACCAAATAAATCTAGACGCACAGGATGTAAGCATGCATATGAATCACGCAGAGGGGAATATAAACACTTACTATGACAGAACGGTGCAGAAGCATGACAAAATGGAAGATGAATTACAAGTGTGTCATAAATCTCTCTCGCCCCCTTTAATTCAACAGCCCATAACATTTTCTCCAGATGAAGTAGATAAATATAAGCTTCTACAGCTACAGGCCCAGCAGCATATGCAGAAACAGCTCCTGTCAAAGCATCTTCGAGTGTTGCCTGCTGCAGGGCCCACTGCCTTCTCTCCGACCTCAGCTGTGCAGACGGTTCCAGTCCACCAGCACGCTTCCATCACTGCCATCCACCACACCTTCCTGCAGCACTTTGCTGTGTCTGCTGCCATTGGTCCCCCCAGCAGTCACCTTCCCATTGCTCATCTCCATCCTCTTGCACAGCCACATTTCACTCCGATTTCATTTTCAGCTCTGACCCCAACCATCATCCCTGCACACCCCACTTTCTTAGCAGGCCATCCCCTGCATTTAGTTGCCACGGCCCCTTTCCCCCCATCTCACATAACACTTCAGCCCCTGCCTCCAGCGGCATTTATCCCCACACTGTTTGGCCCTCACTTAAATCCAGCCACAACGTCTATCATCCACTTGAATCCTTTAATCCAACCGATGTTCCCAGGTCAGGATCTTTTCCATCATCCTTATTCCAGCCAGATTCAACAGTTAAACGGAGTAAAAGAAGCCTTAAACGTGTCGACCCACTTGAACTAATATGTATGAAACTCCTCTTGAGGATAAATACATTGTCACTACCTATGAGATGTTATATTTAAAGTATCTGATTATTACAAGGTTTAAAAAAAATTGTGTCAATTTAAAATGAGACCAATATATAAGTATGAACTAAATTACCAATATGCAAACAGGATCACTTTACTTCAACTGGTGAAAATAATAGGCAAACATAAAATAATTTCATAGAGGGGTAGAGGAGAAACCGTTAAAGGATTTTTGGGGATGAGTTCTCATGCAATGTTAAAAATGATAAAAGAAAAACAATCAGGCAGACCACTGATACTCAAAGAAAAAATAGAATGGAATACCCTATGTTCTTGGTGTGTGCTGGTGAATGAGTGAATGTGGATTTGATTTCATTTGTCAGATATTAATAAATGTTCAGTAAAATGAATCCATTATTAAAGATAATTTGTATGGCTGTTCGCTGAACTTTCAATGTACTATATCACTCTGCTTCCATTAGAAATAAGAGATGGCAAGAAATCTACTTTTGAATGAAAGTCTTCTGTGAAATATCAGTTGACTTCATTCCATATAAAACTATATGTCATTATTTCAATGCAAAAGTAACATCTAAATTTAGATTGTTTAAATTTGCATAAGAAAATATGCAAACTATCATTAGTGTTTGACAATGCCAATAAAAGTAAATATACTCAGAATAACATCTTGAATAGTCTGACTAATCTTTCAAATATTCCCATGATTTAAATGTTAAGTTTTCCTTGTTCTTCTACTCAGAAACCTTACTGTGTCCAGCCAACATATGCATAAGGGTAGAGGTAAAATATTTAGAAATACCAGTATTTGTACATGCTTATTGAGAAAGTTTATAAACATAGTGTGTTTTATTTATTGTACTAGATGTTCATTAAACAGAGTGAATGATGTTAAACCAAATGACCATGTAATTTTGCACATGATTCCAAATATTGATTCAAAATATCTTCTGGTCAATAGAAATTGAATTTGTGAATAGCCATCCACTTAGCCTTATTTCATATTGTTAAAATGAAAAGGAAAATCTCATGAACTGAACATTCCCCAGAATCATGGGTTTTAGAGAAAAGCAGACTACACAAAAAAGGAAGTGATCAATCATCTGATGCTGCCTATGTTTGTCTCTACAAGATGTGAGGGATAGCTCTATTTACTGAAGATTGGTTGGGTTTTCTACAGGTTAATCTAAGCCCTTGGATTACAGTATTCTGTTTAATGTTCACAATGTGTTTTGAGATCAATATTATCTTTCCCCACTTGAAATGATGACAATGGAGTTGAAAGATAAAATGCATATTTAATAAACAATAAAAAGATATCATGTAGGAGAGATAGGTGAGAGAGAGAAAAATGAAAAGAGAAAAAGTGAATTGGAAATGTTAACATAAAAATATAGTTTTTGACCTATGTATCTATTTTATTTACCCACAATAATCCCAGAAACATGTAGATTGAGGGTTTTGATGGAGATAGAGCAGAGACAAAGTCTAGCTCACTTGAATAGAAAAAAAAAATAGAAGAAAATCAAATAACAATAAACCCTGTGTGTGGAACTCATAAAAGTAATCAGAAAAGCCACTAGTAAACATTGGGAAACTTCACCAGCAAGTAAAATAAGTTAGATATTTATTATAAAGACAGGTACAAATTGCCCAGCTAATAAAAGCAATCTGGATAACTATTTACCAAAATAGATCATAAAGCTGACCTATAGTCAAAATAGAGTAACCATGGGAACTCACTAGAAGTCCTGTTATGGAAAATACAGTTACCTGATAATTTTTATAGTAGTCTTAATGACCATTTACCTTTGCAGAAGGTTAAAGAGAGAATCTGTCACCGCTGGATATTTATTTTTGACCAACAAAGATATATTGATAAGAATTGATGGCTTAGTAAGGACACCTCCAGCTTTTACTAACATTGATGGAAGTGCCCATTAGAGGTCCTGTCTTGCACTGAGGGAAAGCAAATATCATAATTTAAACAAAATGTAACATGTGCCCTGGAGTGAGAAATGGTAAGAGTTGGGGTATCAGATGAGGAAAGGTACAATTAAAAAATTTATTTCTACCAAAATAGTCATTGTAGTAAAAGCCACACACTGGATTTTATTTCTCATTTTGCCTGAAGAGAAAAATACTCTTGGAGAAAAATGAAACAAAGAATTCCAAATACATATTGAATTCTAAAATAGGTCCATTTTAAATAATTCACTGTGATGGATTATAATTTCAACCCAAAAATGGATTATATTTCCTCCCAATCATTTGATGGTTTATATGGGGTGTTAAATTTGTTTCCCTGTCTATTGCCTGATACTTAAGGGATGATTCTCTTTATGAGATTACTCTGTCATAGTTAGCTCATGGAAGTAAGTGCTGAACTGTACATGTTCAACTAAAAACAAATTTAATGAAGTCTGTACAATACGCACTCATGCAAGCACACACACACACACACACACACACACAATCTATATATTTTTCTTAGAGATTAAAAACCAGTCCACAGCAGATAGTCTCCCTGGATCTAGGAATATTCAAATCACATAAATTCTTTGTTTGAAGGAATGAAAATTTAGGAAAGTTCATCTTCGTACTCATTCTATGTCAAAGTCAGCAATAAAAAGTGCAATTGGGGTAATAAAAATTATACTCCAAAATTCTCAGGTTCACCTTCATAAATGTTATAAATATAGTAAAATACAGGAAATGGTTAGCATAAAAAGAATGATTTAGAAAGTGCCTGATTCCCAGGGCATTTTTCTTAGGGAGACACTTCACAAAATGATTACCCTGAATTTCTGTTTCACTTATAGAAAACAGATTTGACATTGATTCTTTTTCTTCAGTTTCCATCCATACTTAATCAAATCTCCATGATCACCAAATAGAACTATATTCTAAGAAATTAATCCTGTAAGTCTTGTCATTAAATGGAATGTTTAACTAGTCAAATTACTCTGGATCACGTTGCTAGGTCTATCTCCTTACTTTCTGAATTCTCACTTTCTTACATAGTTCCCAATGATGGCAGCAACACAGCTTGTGAATTTTATAATCCTTGAAGCTGATCCAAAATCACCTTGTATGTTAAGCATTTTAAACAGTCATTGGAGATGTAGAACATCACCTGATACTCCAGCATTCTAGGTGTGTATGAGCAGAACACTGAGATGCCTTCCCCAACAGGGGTGGATATTTAATACTCTCAAAGTATGGTGAAATAATATCGCTTACTATTTCATGGCACATTTTTCAATATTTCCTTTAAAAATCCTCATGAGTTTTTAGAAGAATTGTTAAATATTCTGAAGAAAAAGGTATGAATATCAGATCAATTTTCTAAAAAACATAATTGAAAAGAGCCACATATTACACATCATTGCACATCATTGTACATAATATACTTAGGGTCAAAATTGACCTAGTGCTTGTACCTCATGCAGGAGAGGCGGAGCTGATAAAGAGGTTTAATTTGAGTCTTTAAATGAGATGAGCCCCTGAAGATAAATGTGCACATTCACAGGCAAATAGAAACATTATTAAAAACAAGTGGGTAACCAGTTCCATTCAGTAGTCAGGAAAGCATATGGCTGCCCTCTGTCTCTCAGACTGAAGTCACTTCAATAAGATGAAAATTTTTCTACTAAAATATGAGCTTTCTTGCCAATAAGCCTGGGTCTGGAGGATTTTCAGAGGTTATCATTTCATTTCAGGAGAGATATTACCCACTTCTTCTATTAAGTAGACTTTTGAAGAGGTTGTTGTATTTCTTGGGATTAAGCTATATTAAAAAGGGAGCAATGGCTGAATGGGTATAGTGTAGAATAAGCCAGTATTAGAGAAATAAACCAAGGGTCTTTTCATTCTATGCAGCTTTGTAGAAGAGGGATAGCTCCACTTTCAAATTCCTTTCTCAAAGTTACTTCCTCCTTTTACAATCCACAAATTTTTTCAAGTAACTAGAGCAAGAATAATGTGTCAAGAAATAAGTCAAGAAAAATGGAAAAATCAAAATATGTGTGGGTGTGAATATGTGTGTGTGTGTTCTTAATCAATATACTCTTCAGTCTTCATTTGTAGATCTTGTACTACATTTAAAATATTTTTTTTTAGCATTTTCCAGAACACATGCATATATTGAAACAATTACTTTCAGGAAGAGGTTTGTTATCCACCATGCAAAATTGTCAGTTCCTTCAGTATGTGAAACTATAAATAGCTGATAATGTACACTGATTATGTAGCTACTGAGAGAAAACTCTCAACTTATTTTTCAATTATATTTAAAATATTTAATTTATGATTAGACTGAGTGATAGTCTGTCAATATGACACATCAACCAATAATTTTATTTTATATTCTCTGTTTAAAGCATTTATTTATCTTATACTGTGGATAAGTGATTTGCACTATTGTACATGCAAAACAGCTTTTTTTAGGTTACTCAATAAATTACTTGGACTGTAGTTCAATGCAATAATATTTTTTTCAATAAGAGCTTAATGGTATAGGAGTGTTAGTCATGTATTTATAACACAAGCATACCAAAATGTAAGAATAAAATCAAATACAAATGGTGTGAAAATATTCTGTATTTTACACTGCTGGGTTAAAATGCATTTAACATTTTATTTATTATTGTATATATTTATAATGTAAATTTAAAACCTGGGATTTCTTAGACTATTTCTTAATATTTGAGTGTTATAAAAGAAAACTGTTTCTTCAAACTTAAAATAAATGCAACTTTAAAAATTCTACTAATGTTTTCTCTGTTAAAGCCTAGCACTACATACATATTCTGTGAAGTACTGTTTCTTTTTCATCTTTTAAAAATTGGGATCTACACTGCAAAATGCTCTAACAGAACCCTATAGAGTTTCATTATTTATTTTCTAATAATAAAATATAGTACAACAACACAATAATTTCACTTTAAACTTTAAAAAATACTTTAATAAAATTCCTACTAAGCTGCTATTCTCAGAAGGACTCAACTTTCTAAGAAAGTAGTCACCTGTGACTGATGGTGTCAGAAAATGACTTCATTATCAGTCGAGTCTCTCTGGATTTGCTTATCCTTTCCCTCCCTCCCATGAGAGCTATAAGAGCTCTCATCTCTGGTATTTTAGTGTGATAACTGTTCAAACTCTCAGGATGAGATGTTCCTAGAGATAATGACTGGATGCTCTTGCCATGCACCAATACAACTCTTGAGGTTCCTGAGGAAAAACAGGGAGGATGAAGAAATAGAGATAAGGGATGAAAGCTGAGGTCAGGTGGAGCCCTCTCTCTCCTAATGGGAGGAAAGGAACTGCCTAAGAACTGCAGAGCATTTATTTATACACTCAGGAAGTTGATGTAAATTTCAACCTCTCTGCCTAGCAACCTGTTTGCAAGCTGGAGCAGCTTGTTTACATGGCTGGAGCTCTCCCTATTCTCAGGGTAGCTTTGC